TGATTTCAACACCAGTTCCTGCTCCGCTCTGTGGTTCAGACTGTTGACGTTTCATGCACCGCACTACCAACAGCCAGTCAGTCAGAATTAGAATCATCAACAAACATAATCAGCTCCAACTTAAAGGCTTTGGAAATAATTCATTGCGACTGATCAAATTTGATGAAATTATATTTTACACAATAAGCAGCGTAAGAGCTATTTAACAAGTTCATTAAAAAATTCCAAAGATTTTCCTTTGTCAACAACTGTTTTCAGGTTTGTAGCCACATAACTCTGAGTCACTCAGTCATATTAGTGAAAGGTGAAGGACAACATGTGTGACCTTTCATTCAGCTGCCCTGAAATGAGTGATTTAGGAAGAAGCCCTCAGTTGGAAACTGAAGAAAGGACTGGCTTCTCATGTTTCAGGCACAAAGACCTGGGAGAATGCAGCCCCAGAGATTCACCTGAAAGTCACACAAACCCTTGTGTTTTTAAACAACTAAAATATTCACTGTGATCACGCAGTGATCAGAACAAACTCCAGTATTAATTGAATTTGTGTCCTAAATTCAATTAGAGGCATTTTGGTTGCATGCCTGGTGTGTGGGCATTGAGGTTGACAGGCTGGAGCTCAGCATTGATCACAAGATTACAAAATCTTTACTAACTCCTTTCACCTCAGTCGCCACTGAAGCACAGAAGATTAACAGCCCCCCCACCCTCACTACTCGGCCTCATATAATTTGTAACGTGACAGTCCTAAAATGCAAAACCACTCACAGATGTGGATGAAAAAAACTCTTCCACAAACCTTTTCCACAATAATAAGATCTCCAACTTGAATGCCACTGCTTTTGACCTTCACTGTGCCTGAAATGATGAGGGGGAAAACAAAGAAGTTATGAGTTTTTGCATATAATCAAAATAATTATCAGACAAAAAAAAAAAAAACAAAAAAAAAAAGAATATATACTGTATATATTTTAACCATTTACCCTTTTTTATTAAAATGGTTATATATATAACATCTTGTGGAACACAAACTAGCTCTGAAAATTTGGGAAAGTAATTCTCCATGCTGATTAGAAAGAATGCATGAGGACTTGAGCCTTTTTCTCTCATTCCATTCAGAATGAACGGGCAAAATTGTTTGGAAGAGATCACTGACCCCTGACCTCCTCCATGACCTCTGGACTTTGCATATGTAAGACATTAAAGCACATTAATATTGCAGTGCATTAGGGCTTTTGTGTGACTTCAAAATAATGCTTGGCTTTGATTAGTGAGAGAAAAAAAAACCTTTTTGTGAATGAATGTTTATTATTTTACAATGCAGCTTTTAGACATAAAAACACTGTATAACGTGTCCACAGGAAGAAATGTTGACTTTTTCAACATGCAGTTTCTATAAACCTCAAAAACATGCACTGGGGCCACTATCATGGCGGCAACCAGTAATTGTGTTTATGAGTTAAACAAGCTGCCACATCAAAGAGGCAAAGTGATGGAAACCACAAGAGGTCTCCTGCTTTTTATTGCTGGTAGCACTTTATACCAAGCCCTCTAATGTGGCCTTTTTACATCTCTGCTTTGAATTACCTTCCACCCTCCCACCCCAATACGTTTTATTAGGACCAACATCATACAGTTAATGGATGTAGATCCAGGGAAATGAACAATACTATAGTATAACGATAGTATACATTATAGACTACTCATTTACACAATAGCCTGACAATTGTATGCTTATATTTTAACATAACAGGCTAACAGGTTCAACAAGTTCCCAGTCTTGTGCAACATCACGACTCAATTCTTCCCCAGTTTTACTTTACAAACTTTTACAAATGTATGTCTATATATATATATATATATATATATATATATATTTCTTTTTTGTGCATAGGTGTGCAGTGAGTCTGATGCTCACCTCTTGTAGACAGCTTGCTGTAAATCTGAGAGTTGACCTCTTTATCTCGGAGATAGCATCTGATTTCTTCAACTGCCTCTCTCATGACGGTGACAATCAAAACAAGACCCTGTCAGGGAGGGAGACCAGAGAGTACACGACTCTTAAAATACCTAAATATTCACATAAGAGCTGTTTATACTGTAGGAATTATATAAAAAAACAAAGATTTTCCACATACCAGAGGAACCCAGTAAGTGTAGAGGGCACCCAGACGTAGTTCCTCAATAAACTGCGAGCAGGCCAAAAGCAGAAAGTACAAGTTGAAGAAGTACTTGTACTCGTTGTAGAGAACCTGTGAACAGAAATCAAAATGGTGTTAGAAATGGTGGAGATGAACTATTATATATTCTTTTACGCCAATGACTCCCAACAACTATAACATAGACAAATAATAAATAAATAAACTATTTATTCCACTTACTTTTTAGCACCGTGGTTGAACAGTTTTACGATTACAGATTACAAAATCTGTAATCGTTTCACCAATGGTTACCAATATAGAGGAATATTACAAAATCTGTAATAGTTTCACCAATGGTTACCAATATAGAGGGCGGGTCCCTTTAGGGGCATGGAGTGGGGAAAATACACCGATTTGTTATTTTATTTCTTTGATCAGTGAGAATTGCAGTTTTGTAGGAATCGTAGGAAGACATTTTTTTAAATAAGGTTCAGTGGGGTTTTGATACAACAGCTGTCAATGTGGTAATGTGAGAAAAGGAATGAATGTTTCTGAGACACAGCTCATCACGTTTTTCGTCCTCTACTAGTCCAGTTATTTTAAACATTTTGAGGACTTCCTGTAAATCATAACGTGTGGCTGACACTTTAATGTGTTCAACTGTAGTACTGCAATACAAATATTTAAATTAAGTAAGTCTTCTCATAGGTTAAGCCTAAAATATACAATTGCTAAAAGCTGAAAAAGACAACTGTTTATATTATAGAGAATAACCATTTAATGTTTAACCAATTCAGATACGTTGTCAAAAACAAACTATTTTGTTTGAATAAACAAATGTAAGCATTGTAAGAAACTGTCACTTATACAACAAATAAATTACAACGTTGCCCTATTTTAATATGATTAATACTGACAAGACTCGTGATGTCACATTACCGCTTCCCAGAAAGCCTCCGACGTGAACATAAATTTTACAATACATTGTAAGAACAAGAACAACTTGATGACATGAACCAGGTCTTTGCAATGCAAATACGCTCGTGTATTGTTTTTCAAAACAAACTGAAGCTACTTTCAATATCTGCCTTCATACACAAAATTAAGATCTTAAGACAACCGAATGTCTGAAAAAAACAAATTAATATGTAAATTCTTCTAAGAGAGTGCACGGGAGTGCGTGGAGCCAGAAGCACACAATTCAGGAGCTGCCACATCAAGTGCTGCTTCACAATGGGTCGATGATTACAAAAAATATCAGAGTAGGAGTATCTACTGTTTGTCTGCCACAAAACGCTGAGTCACGAATGGAAAGCCATTTGTCTGTAAGTAATGAGTACTTGAGTCTGGGACCTGGATCTGAGTCACAGTACATGGCAACGGTGTAATTCTCAGAGCAACTTGTGGGATCGAACCTGAAACCTTCCAGACCCAAGACCGCTTCCTTAACCAACAAGCCACCACTTCCCCGTTAAAGATATACCACCCAACGTTGGGCTAAAACCCACGACCCTGAGATTAAGAGTCTCATGGTCTACCGACTGAGCTAGCTAGGCTAAGAGACACAAAATGTTAAATATATATTAACTACTTTATATATGCAGTATATGTTGGGGTACTGATTAGATGCACAATATGATATAAATATGACATATGATGAGGAAATTCTAAAGAATTATATTCATATATATTTTAGTTGCTCACGATCTACCAGTACTCCCTTGGCGATCTACTGGTAAATCCTGATCTACTTCCTGGTCACCCCTGATATACAGCGTAGTCCGCATCATTTTTTGTAATGACCGACGGGTCCAACAAAATACTAATTAGGTAAGTAAACTTTAGGTGACACTAACCGCAGGAAGGAAGGTGAAGAAGTTGTACTTCTGGTTGTTGATGACATTCCTAGGGTACCTCTGCTCCCTCTTCTCTGGGTGGCCGAGCCACACCGTACGAGGACGCAGGTCACCCATACCACAGCATCTTGACCATGGGCAGCACCTGAGAACAGAGAAGCAAAATATGCTAAGTAAATTACATCTTCTAGTTAATGTTTAAAAAAAACAGCAGGCAAAGTTCAACCAAACAATGAATGGCGAGAGTTGTGAGAGATTATCATAAACATTTACTTAATCTACAGTACTCTACAGTCCTTATCCAAGACACACAAAAAGATTATCAGCTATGTTGAAGGACATTCTCATTCGACAAACGTTTGTTGCAGGTAAACAAGGAATATCTCCACAGATTAGCATCCACGAATGGGAAACATAAATGGTCAATAGGTCAAGACATGGCGTTTCTTTTATTTCATTGAGTCTAGACAAGGTGAGCGGAGGAGAAATCCGATCTAATTTGAAGCAGAAATGTGTTTTTATATAAACAGTATTGTCAGGTCCTGTGGATTGAACAGAACAAACGAGGAGTTAGGTTATTAACAAAGTCGGAGACAGAAGCAGTCGACAAAGTGTTGTCATTATGAGATTTTATCAGGAAAGACATCATGAGATTCCAAAGCAATTCAGTTCCTCTTTGAGACAAAGCTGATGTTGATCATTTTTGACATGATAACCGTCTAATATTAACAGCCCATTCCTTGGGGACAAGAAACCTCTTGTGGACCAAATTAATCAAATTATGTTTAAACAAAAAATTTGTTTAGTAAATACAACAGTAATCAACTGACACAGTGAACAAATGTTAGAAAAACATAATTTGTATTATAATGTCATCAACTGCATTAAAGTGAGGGAAAGCTGAGAGGGCACTTGAGGCATTTTTATTTTAACAGTCATAACAGGAAAAGCCGTAAGCCCGAGCCAACCATGCTCATCCCTCCCAAAATTTTCTCCGTCACACACGCTCCGCACATCATCCTTTATGGCACTGTTGCCAATATTGAAAAAAAGCCTACTTCTGTTGTATAGTTGTAGGTGCTGTGGACAAAAAAGGGGAAAAACTAAATTGGCAAATAATAATTTTGCAGTATAAAAAGATTCTTTTTTTTTCTTTTTTGCCTAATAATGCCTAATAATTCTGAATAGGAAGAGATAAGTTGCCAAATGGCAAATGTAGGTGCCCCGGTATCTGTTCCATCTCCTTTAATTGGTTCCTAAAGGCTCTCTCACTAATTACAAACCAAAGTTAAATACATGCTGTTGCTAATTATCAGGGAGCCAGACATTATTATCTAAATATCAGCAACTTAATACACATTTAACTGAAAAAACTTGAAAGGCTGAAAGGCTTATGTTCACTAATTTAGTGCCTGCATTTAAATTGCATTGTAATTAATCACGATTAATAGTGTGCACGTACCATGCAATGCTTTTTTCCAGCAGTGTGGGTAAATGACAAGGTGTGTCTTGACTGTGTATTAGATCTCTGTTAAGAGAGTGGTTGGTGGAATTATTTATTTTTCGGATTTAACCCACAGTGGGGAAAATTGCCCTGGTATTTAATTTAGTTTTATTTGTTTAATGTTTTGTAGGAGAAGCAGTTTTATAAAGAAATATCACTGGAATTTGAAGCAGTAGCTGTGAATGTGTCAACGTGGGGAGGCTTGGCCATAATCCTTTCGACAAAAGGGGGGCGCTGCCTGACATCCGTATGGGTGGAGTTTTTATTATCATTATTATCATTATTACTGTTATTATATCCTCAACAATAAATATGAATTAACCGGGTTTGGTTTTGGGGAGTTTATAGGTTCAGGTGGGTGGAACCACGGACAGGACTGAGCGTGTACCATTACATTTATTATCGTTCGGTCATTTACTGTCAGTCGCGGTATGGCTGTGCTGTTCATAACAAACCTACAAGTCATTGTGCCACAGACCACTGTATTCTAACAGGCCTTTGTCAGTGTTTTTATTTGTACAGGAGGTGACTTCACCGTGTCAGCCTGGCCATGTCAGTTGGCTGCATATACTGTACGAGACTCTGTCCCATCCCGTTATGAGGCCCGTTCTTTTGTCAGATTAACGACGACGAATGGGTGTGAAGACTCATGTCTGTAATGCGACAAACACAGTTAAATATCACTACATGCTAACTTAAGGCTAACACATTAACGCCATTTGAACGGAGGCAAACATTTGTACGAGGTCTCCGTCAGACAGAGCAGGAGAGAACCGAGCAAATATTGACATGGGTGTGAGATGCACTTGCTTCAACTGTTCCCCGGAACAAGGATGTCTCCTGTAGCTCAGGCTAGCTCTTTTAAAGCTACAATGAAGCTAACATATGTTTGTTATGCTAAAGTGGGTTATGTTTCCTCCCCTAATCTGATTTAAATGTTACTAAATAGCCACCGCCACCGCGCTGGTAACTGAAAGAAATGTCGTAAACAATGAAAAGCTCCACGAAAAAAACCTACACGTTGTGTAAAAAAAACAGCATCATTTTGAGGTCTGTGTTCTCTAAAAGAACGCCCTTACCCGTTTCTGTGTTTATTATCTTGTCGTTTGGATCGTCTCACGGGTTGTAGTGGGATG